CGGGGAGCACCCCGTGGGGCAGGGTGCCGTGGGTGCTTCGCTCTGCAAGGACAGCCGGCCTTTGGCAAAGCTGCCGGGGGCACCAGGGCGAGCCGCTCACCCCGAGCGCTTTGAGCGTCTTGAGTGTTTGTGCGACGTCTCGTGTCTTTTGGGGCAGCGGCCCGACCTGGCGTGTGGAGGCGGCGCGTGGCTGTGCTGGGCTGGGGAGGGCGAGGTCGCTCCGGGGAAAACACTCACCTGGGAGGCTCCCAAAGGAGGCCTTTGGCAAAGCTGCCGGGGGCACCAGGGCGAGCCGCTCACCCCGAGCGCTTTGAGCGTCTTGAGTGTTTGTGCGACGTCTCGTGTCTTTTGGGGCAGCGGCCCGACCTGGCGTGTGGAGGCGGCGCGTGGCTGTGCTGGGCTGGGGAGGGCGAGGTCGCTCCGGGGAAAACACTCACCTGGGAGGCTCCCAAAGGATGTAGTGCAGATTCATGAATATCAACGCTTGTGCTGATGTAAGTCAGCTTTATAACGCAGTGCCTTTATTTTATTTGTGCAAAAAAAAAGAAAGAAAAAAAAAAGATTTTGATATGTTTGAGTAGCTACTGGTACCCCATTTGTTGAGGTATTCTTAGTCTTGGAGTCTATTATATCATTAAAGCAAAATCTGTATCCAAAAGTACATGTGCATGGTTTTGCTGGTATACAGAGAATTTAATTTCATTCTGTGGTGGGCAAGAAGTACATTTATAAAGAGCGTTTAGGAATTTAGAGCTTCATTTAGCCAAGAACAGTACCATCCAACCAATGGTACAACTTCTATGAAGAAGCAAGACCACAAATTAGACTCTGGAATAGCTATGGTGGTTTTAAAATTGTTTGTGTGCAATTTTATATGTGTGGTCTTTATACACTGTTTTTGTAAACTATAAACTGTGTTCAGGCATGTATAAGCTAGATCTGAATATTTCAAGGGTATTTTGTTTAAGGAAGTTAGAACAGTTCAAAGCTGTTTGTGAAGAAACTTGACATGCTCTTACTCTTGAAAAAAAGTAAATAGGACTCAAAAAATGCTTACAAATGTTAGAAAAACATACTGTTTGTGAAATTTGTAATTACTCTATTAATCTTTTGAACACTTAGCATCTTTAACAGTTTATACATGTTTCTCAAAGCCATTGCATGAAATCTG